AAATAAAAAAAAAAAAAGAAAAAAAAAAGGGTAAGCAGATGTAAGATTTCTCTTCACCTTGACATCAGCGAATATGGTTTCCAAAGCAAATTGCTGTTTTCCTGCAGCAAACAAAACAGCTGTTTCAATTTCAAGACTAGTATAAGTAGGATCTGGATTGAATCCTGATGCACAGCCTTCTATCTCTAAGCTACACACCATCGATCCTCTCCTCTAGATATTGCGCCTCATATTACGCATTAAAGCCCTCAATTGGATCTGATGCCGAACCACTTTCCGAGAAAAAAAAACCCTCTGAAAATAAAAATATAACCCGTTGTCTTTTCTTTGTATTTAGGTTAAATATCTAATTTGGTCCCTTAACTTCCATTTTTGAACCAAATCTATCTTTTAACTTTAAAAAATATTAAAAATATCTTTAAACTTCAATTTTTGCTGCCAATTTACACCTTTCCTCAATTAAGCGCTGATCTGACAAAATTTTCCGTTAAAAAATTTAATTTCTACTCATATTGAGTATTATATGGAAATAAAGTAGATTATATGATATTTTTTAATTATAAAAATACTATAATGTCGTAATTTTTAAAGTAAATAACATGTATATAATTAAATAAATAGTTATCAAATGAAAATTATTAAATTACTTTCACGCCCCTGAAGTTATCTTCTTCCCCCAGCCCTATCTTCGCTCTCCTCCTTCTCATCCTTTTTGTTTTCCCCTTTTCTGCTGAGAACCCAACCAAATAAACTCCTCTTGGATGATTCCAATGAAGATAGATATGGTTCATTTGGGAGTGGTAGCGATGGCGATGGTTGGGGTGGCAGCAACTGGAATTTGGGTTTGCAATCTAAGAAAGGGAACCGATTTGAATTGCATAAACAACCCTTATTCCTTTTTCTCATCGGACCCAACAGAATCGAAATTCCCATCTTGACTTTACCGCAGCTGCAATCTATGCTCGATGGTATCGATTCCCAGCTACAGAACTCATCTAACTAGTCAACATTGTCGGACACTCGGACCCATTCCTCTCAGTGGCAGGGACAGCGCTCTCTTTTCCAGGATTCGCACGGTGCTTCGGCTTCTTCGGTGGACGGTGGATATTGTTGCAGGGTGGGTTTTTCTAGGAGTTGTGGTGAGGAGTCTTCTGGGAGCTGGAGGGAAGAGGGACGAGATCTGGGTTGGGGGAACCTGGAAATCATCGTCGTCATTGTTGATTTGTGCTAGTACTTACAGTTTAGTTGCAATTTTGTGCAATTTTGCGCAATTTTGATTTGTGCAATTTTGTTGTTCTGGCAGGAGGATTGAAGGTTGAAATTGTGCTTGGAAATTCTAGTAGTTAGTTGCAATCAGTGTGAAGTTTGAATTCGATATGAATATTTTTCTGATTTTTATGAGTTTTTAGAGAATTTTTGGGTCCTGTAATCGTATCCTATGATTTGTTCAAGAAAATTTCAATTTTTGTAAATTTTGTATTCTTTTAGAATTTGTTTCTGGGTTTTATTTTATGTTGGTGTTTTAATAATTTTTTGTTTTATGAATCAATTATTGGTGTCTGGGTTTGATTCTAGGGTTGGGGAAAAGGAAGAAAACAGAGAGAGAAAGAGAAAGGGGAAGAAGGCGATCATTTTCGTTCCATTTTTGTTTTTAATTTATTAATTAATTGATTTTATCATTTAATTAATATAATAAATCTCGTTTTTTATAATTGATTGTGAGTGTTATTACCACATCAGCATAAATTTCACCATATCAGCATTTTAGTTGATGTGGCCTTTTTTTTAATAAAAAATAATTTTATATAATTTTTTTATAATATAATATATCATTAAAATAATTTTTTTAATTCATAAGATTCATAATGTTAAATA